TAATTAAAAAAAAAAAAAAAAAAAGAAGGTCCTACGTAGGGGTGTCTGGGTGGTTCAGTCGTTGGACGTCTGCTTTCAGCTCACATCCTGATCCAGAGTCCTGGGATCATTGGCTCCTTGCTCCGTGGGAAGCCTGCTTTTCCCTCTTCCACTCCCTCATTCCTTCTCTCCTTGTGTCTCTCTGTCAAAAAAAAAAAAAAAAAAGAAAAGAATGTCCTATGCAGGTGTATCCCTTTGTTTTGCATTCCCTGGTTCTGAATATGGTTTGTGTTCAGCAAAACTCAGTGAAAATGTATATCCCACTCAATTATCTTACTACATTGTATGGCCTTTTACTCCCCAGCCCCCTTAGGGGGAATCGGGGAGGGGCGGAGAGGGAAAGACAATCTTGAGTAGGCTCCATGGGCACTCTGGAGCCTAGTGCTTGCTCGATCTCATCACCCTGAGATCGTGTCATGAGCCAAAATCAGGAGTCAGTCTGTAACCCACTCAGCCGCCCAGGTATTAAGACATTTCACATTTTCCACCTCACTTGGTTTTGCCTCTGAGAGGTAGAACTCATTATGTTGGAGAGGGGAGCTGAGGCATGATGAGCTGGTGATGAGACAGGATAGGCTTCCTAACTCCTGCTTCATTAATTGTCCTATCTCTGCGGAGTTCGAGGCTGTGCTGTGTGCAAATTCAGAGTAATTGGGACAGGATCCTGGCCAGCGGAAAAAAAATCTCTTCCATTTAATTTCCGAAGATGGAGTTAGAGAACCGGGGTTTGGTTATTATCCCAAGAATATGATAAGGCTGAACCTTCCTTTTATGGACCTGTTACAAAGTCTGATTGGTAACTGTACTCGCACACCTGTCAAAAAGGTTGGGGGGATGATTTAAAAACAAGGGGCAAGAAAGGTTAAAAGTTTAGTCTACTAAGTCGTACCTCTGCAATCCTATCACCCAGGTTTTTGTTGTATTGTAAAGCTTAAAGGGATTTTATGTTTATGCCTACTTGGGTAAGCTCCTTGGGCTCCGTGTATGAATTTTTTCTTTATTTTGGTGTACTTATTTGGTGCCTTTGGCAGGGTGCAGTACAATATTAAACTATGTTTATTACATCAGTAGTATACAGCACTATACTCTAATGCTCCCAGGTAGCATTTATGGAGCTCTTACTATGTTTTAGGCACCGTGGGTGAGATGTGTTGATTGGGTTAGTTATTTAGCCGTTAGGGACAGTGTGAAAAAAGAAGGTTCCATACCACTGCATGGAATGATGCCAGTTCAGCTCTATGCCCCTCACTGTCCATACTAGTATTTATAGTTAAATCTCATTATCACAACTGATACTGTAATATGACCTTTGCTCATCAAGAGGAAGTTAGATTACATTTAGCGTATATATCCCTGATTCTTCAAGATGGCAGTGATAGAGCCACGTGTTAGATGGCTATCTAGGCTTACAGTTTCAAAATCCTACTGGTTTTGTTTTGTTTTGTTTTTTAGAAAGTTAACTCATAAATGTCTTTAAAAAATAAAACCCAAAGAAACACCTTTTTGTTCAGAATGGGCCATTCCCCAAAGGTTTTCGGTATCAGAGGTTTTATTAAAAGACAACAAATTCCTTCCTTTTATGGAATGTACTTGTTACCTTTAATTATCTTTCTAGACCGGAGGGTTTTAGTGACACAGACCTGTCTGCAGTGATAAACGCTCTTGAAAATATAGGAGACAGGGTAAATTCAGGCCCCAGTAAGCCAAGTGTAATTCTGTGCTCCCTTTTCCTCCCTTACTGACGATGCCTACCAGACTGTAGCTTCCCACAGTGATGATGCTGGAAAGATAAACTTGAATTTGCTTAACTGTATTAAAATAGCAAGTCATTGCAACTTGAGAACTTTATTTTTTATCACAAACATGATGCTAATCAGATAACTTGCATTCAGCTCATTGTTTAGATCAAAGCAATGGCTATGAGGCCATTTACTTTTTTTTTTAATTTTATTTTATCTATTTATTTGACAGGCAGAGAGGCAGGCGGGGGGAGGGGGCGGGGGGGGGTAGGCAGGCTCCCTGCTGAGCAGCGAGCCTGATGCGGGGCTGGATCCCAGGACCCTGGGATCATGACCTGAGCGGAAGGCAGAGGCTTAACCCACTGAGCCACCCAGGCGCCCCCGGCCATTTAACTTTTAAACATATTCCTTCAAAGTATGCCTGAAGGTGACCAAATTTAATCTAATTGAAGCATTAATGTTTTATGTTTAACAGTTTTAAAGGACACGTTGGAGAAAAGGGGGGTATTAGGGCATTTAAAAGCAAGGATCCGAGCTGAAGTTTTCAATGCCCTAGATGATGAAAGCGAACCCCGACCGTCATTGTCTCATGAAAACCTTCTAATTAATGAACTAATTCGGGAGTATCTGGAATTCAACAAGTATAAGTACACAGCATCTGTCCTCATATCAGGTAAGAGGTTATTATTATTACTTGCCTGAAACAAAGTCTGCTTTTTCCCTTCCCTCACTTCTGAGAAAATATTGAGGCTGAAAGTCTAATTCCGTTACCAAACAGAGTCATCCAGGTGACTGGAACATAAAAATCTCCTGGTCTCCTTCCATAGTTTGAATACGTTCTCATGGGGATTATTGTATTGTAAGGGAAAATAAATACCAAAACACTTAAACTAGGTGTGTACTTGGAAAAATCATCTGTATTTTCTGATACTAAGGATAAAAAGTCGTTTTTGTTTGCTGCCAGGTTTTTTCTGTGTAGATGGTTTAAAAATACAGTTTCAGAGGCTCAGTCAGTTAAGCATGTGACTCTTGATCTCTTGTCAGGTCTTGATCTCAGGGCCATGGGTTTGAGCCCTAACTTGGGCTCTGCGCCTAGCCTGAATCCTACTTAAGAAGCATTGGGAAGATAAACTCCAAACTCACTGTAATGTTAGGAGGGAGAGAAATGGTGTTGGGGGAGGAGGTGGGCAGTTAAAGAGACATTTATCTCTTATATTTTATTTCTGAAGAGAAAGTAAATAACTTTCTTGATAAGGAATGCACATTAATCAAGATAGACTTTCCTCTGGGCTAGGGGAGAGAAATGGGATTGGAAGGATTACTTTGTTTAAGGTTTCTTTTCTTTCTTTCCTTTTTTTTTTTTTTAATTTTGAAGAGTTTATTTATTTATTTGTCAGAGAGAGAGAGTGCACACAAGCAGGCAGAGCGGCAGGCAGAGGCAGAGAGAGAAGCAAGGCTCCCTGCTGGACAAGGAGCCTGATGTGGGACTCGATCCCAGGACTCCGGGATCATGACCGTAGCCAAAGACAGTGGCTTAACCAACTGAGCACCCAGGCGTCCCAGTTTAAGGTTTCATCTGTACTTTAAGACTATTTCATTCCTCATCCAAAGGGGGGAAAAAAAATAAAGAGACCATGAAGTAGATTTTGGAAGAGAGAATGAATTCTTTGTGATGTTGGACCTTTTCCACTTAATAGATTTTTAAATTAACATTCTATATCTTTTATTTAATATTAGGCACATATCTTAACTGAATGAAGACTGGTAAGTTTTAGTGGTTTAAGGATCATCAGTATCAGCCTCCACTTTCCTCAGTTTGTTATAGATGGCTGTATAATACTGTTAACACTTAGAAACGAAGAAAATTTATGAAAATATAATGAATTAGGTCTTGGACCTGGGCTTCCCTAGAATGAAATGTAGTCACATTTGTCAAGTTTCATGTTAAGTGTCTTGGCTTTTTTTTTTTTTTTTTTAATAAAGGTTTTTATTTTTTGACAGAAAGAGAGAGATCACAAGTAGGCAGAGAGGCAGGCAGAGATAGAGAAGAAGGGAAGCAGGCTCCCCACTGAGCAGAGAGCCTGATGCGGGGCTTGATCCCAGGACACTGGGATCATGACCTGAGCTGAAGGCAGAGGCTTTAACCCACTGAGCCACCCAGGCGCCCTTGGCTTTTTTTTTTTTAATAACTGAGGTGTAATTAACAATACAGGGGTGCCTGGGTGGCTCAGCCGTTAAGCATCTGCCTTCGGTTCAGGTCACAGTCCCAGGGTCCTGGGATCACGCCCCGTGTCAGGCTCCCTGCTCGACGCCGAGAAGGCTGCTCCTCCTGGCTTGTGTTCCTTCTCTCACTGTGTCTCTCTCCGTCAAATAAATAAAATCTTTAAAACAAAACAAAAACCCAACGAGACAAAAACCTTTTTCGGTATGCAGTTCTGTGGATTTTACCAAATACGTATAGTTGTGTAACTGCCACCACACAATCGCTATAGAGAATATTTTTACCACCTCAGAACATTCTCTGTGCCCTGTTGTAGTCAACTTCTTCACCTACCCCAACCCCTAGCAACTGCTGATCTGTTTTTTTCTGTACCAATCATTTGCCTTTTCCAGAATGTCATATAAATGAGCCCATTCAGGATGTAGCCTTTTGAGTGCACTTCCTTTCGCTTAGCATAATGCATTTCAAATTCAGCTGTGTTGGGTTTTTTCCCCCTGAATAGCATTCCTTTGTGTGTCTGTGCCGATTTCTCTATTATCAGTTGTGTGTAGTTTTTTGGCAGTTACCAGTCCAGTGGCCATTAACATTCACAAGTTTTTGTGTGCAGATAAGCTTTCTTGGGTAAAGAGCTAAGAGTGGGATTGCAGGTTATGAAGCACATGCTTACCTTTCTAAGGAGTGACTCAACTGTTTTCCAAAGTGGTTGTACCATTTTGCTCTCCTACTAGCAAAGCAAAGTATAAGTACCGTTGCCCTGTATCCTTGCCAGCGCTTCATGTTTGGGTAATTTTACTTTTAGAATTATTACCGCCAAGTGGTTATTGTTACTGTCCTGTGTTTAATTTGTAGGCTTCAAAAAAAGACTTTTGAAGTCTAGTGTGCAGACACATATGTTCCCAACCAAAAACTGGGGGATTTAAAAAACGAATTTATGGGGATGCCTGGGTGGCTCAGTTGGTTGGATGACTGCCTTTGGCTCAGGTCATGATCCTGGAGTCCCGGGATCGAGTCCCACATCGGGCTTCCAGCTCCATGGGGAGTCTGCTTCTCTCTCTGACCTTCTCCTCGCTCATGCTCTCTCTCACTGTCTCTCTCTCAAATAAATAAATAAAAAATCTTAAAAAAAAAAGAATTTATGTTAAACTCTGTTAAGTTATACATATAACGAAATGACATTTTGAAAATCATAAAGTCAAGTACAGTTGGCTCTGCCTTGGTACGTGCCATCCTCGTTATTCCAAAATTGGAAAAGTCTGTGTAACTGGTAAGTAGTTCTTACCAAAATCGTATGTGCTTTTTAGATGAATAAAGACTCACGATTTTTCCTCTAGAATCTGGTCAACCTGTAGTTCCATTGGACAGACAGTTTCTCATCCGGGAACTAAATGCATTTGAAGAATCAAAGGATAATACAATGTAAGAAGTTTTTTTTTAAATAAGGTTTTTAAAGATAAAAACTTAAAAATAAGTTTTTAGATATTGTTGTATTGGGAGTCATAATCACATAGTAGTGGTTTTGTTTCATTTTAATTGAGCAGGTGTTTATTTGGTTTGAGTGTGTGTCTAACACTGTACCAAATCCAAGGTGTGTAGCAATAAACAGGATAAGGCCTCTGTTCTCTGGAACTAAAATTCCTGTGGTTTCAGGGGACTGAGCATCTGTCTCACTAAGGGTCATTCTTCTTGGCTTCTTGATGCATCCCTTTTTTCTTCTGAGGGTTTGCTCTCTCAGTTGTTTCTTCCTCAAGATGAACTCTTCCTCCTCATTGTTTCCTTCGCTTCAGCATAGGAATATACTCAGATCTCAAAAATACCATTCGACTCGTTTTTACCACTGAACTTCGTGAAAACCAGCCACCTGCTTTCATTTTGTTACTCTCCCCCTTTGCCTTCTCTGCATATTAAATTCTTCCTTCACCATTTATGCTGAAACTATGCTCTTGAAAAGAAGTGTGACTGCTTTCTAGTAGTTTCTTAATTCTGTTCCTACCACAAAGTTGCTTAAACTTTTTCCAGAGGATCCCTGAATGGCCAAAAAAATTGCACCCAGGAGGCTCAAAGCAGCAGCCCCTCTCCCACCCCCAGGCACAAATTTCTTTGAAGTCTTTTGTTTCCTTTCCTTTCCTTCTTTCTTTCTTTCTTTTTTTTAATTAACATTTTATTTATTTATTTGACAGACAGAGATCTCAAGTAGGCGGAGAGGCAGGCAGAGAGAGAGGGGAAAGCAGGCTCCCCGCTGAGCAGAGAGCCCCATGCGGGACTCCATCTGAGGACCCTGAGATCATGACCTAACCTGAAAGCAGAGGCTTTAACGCACTGAGCCACCCCACTGAGCCACCCAGGCACCCCTTATGTTTCCTTTCTAAAAATTTCTTGATATTTTTTTGTTGTTGTTGTTTCTGCTTCATGGTATAATTGTCTGTTTTACCATAAAAATGTTAAAATGACGTACCACTTAAATTGAACTCTCCCACAAATCTTTGTGCAATTAATGTTCCAGTATCATATGCCACTTTTATCCTGTATTTTGTCCCAAGTCCCTGGCATCAAGAGTGGGTATATATCTGTATTTCCAATCTGAGAAGCTCAGTTTTACTTGAGTTTCTGTAGCATTTTGTAATAGTGACTCTTCTCCCTTAAAACACTTTTTGTCATTTGTCTTTTATGAACCTTTACTGTCTAGGTTTTTCTCTCTGTAACAGTGTTCTCAGTTTCTTCATTGTTCCTTTAGGGTTCTTATAAATCGTGAGTACTCTCCAAGTTTTGTCCTTAACAAAATTTTTCTTCCTGTCCCCTTGCCCACTTTCCTAAGTATGCTTGAGTCTTTAATGATGCCTCCATGTTCGTGACTCTGCTTTAAATCTGACAGATCAAAAAAAAAAAAAAAAAATCTGACAGATCCCGCAAATTTACAGAGCCCCATTTCTGCTGGCATCTCAAACACAGTGTGTCCAAAAATTAAACGTGTTATTTTCACCTTCTTAAATCCCCTTGTAGGTTCCTCATATAGCCATTCGGGTCTTAAACTCAGAGTCCATGTACTTTTCTGGCTACTTCCCTCTATTAATCAGTCACTCTGCGGTTCTGTCGCTTTTGCCTGGGCACTGTTCAGAAGCCATCTGTCTGCTGTCTCTGTCTCTGGTCACTTTCTTTCCCAACTTACCTTCATATTGCCAACAGTTGGCTTTCTAAAAGGCAGTTACTGCTTTGTTTAAAACATTTTCATTGTAGGGCTGCCTGGGCGGATTAGGCGGTTAAGCCTCTGACTCTTAGTGTCAGCTCAGGTCTTGAGTTCAAGGCCCCTGTTGGGCTCCACATCCATAAAAACCACAAAACAAACATCTCCATTGTAAAGTTTTCAGATTTTAAAAAAGTAATACAGATTGTGTATTTGAAATTTGCTAAGAGAGTTCTCATCTATGAAAGTGTCACACACAGTAAATGGGTGAGGTGATGGCTGTGTTACTTAACTTGATAAGGGGAATTCCTTAGCTGTGTGTGTGTGTGTGTGTGTATCAAATCATTATGCTGTACCCTTTAATTACCATACAGTTTTATTTCTCAATTATACCTCAATAAAGCCGGGGGAAAAAGTAATATAACAAGTAAAACAAATACTAGATTTATGTGCCGGTGTGAACATAAAGCGGCTCTTCATAAATACGCTGATATTTTTCAGCAAAACTTAAGAATTTTCACAGAAAGTAGGATAAAGTCTAGAATAGCCTTAGTTAGGTCAAGCCATGCCACCAAATGAGTTCGTGCCAAACTTATGACGAAAACTAGTTTTCAGAGTTTTTGTGTTTCACCATTGCAAATAAGGTATGGTAAGGCTGAACTTAAAAAAAAAAAAAAAAAATTCTGGGATGCCTGGGTGCTCAGTTGGTTGAGCGGCTGCCTTTGGCTCAGGTCATGATCCCAGAGTCCTGGGATTGAGTCCCACATCGGGCTCCTTGCTTAGTGGGGCGCCTGCTTCTCCCTCTGCCTCTGCCGGCCACTCTGTCTGCCTGTGCTTGCTCTCTCTCTCTCTGACAAATAAATAAATAAAATCCTTAAGAAAAAAATTCTTTTTGTAAACTTTTATTTAGAAACATCCTAATGTCCATGAATTTGTGGATTAAATATGCTAGCTACATCTTTTCTAATAACATCTAAAAAATCTGTCTTAAAATTTTAAATCTTAAAACTTCATTGATGTTAATTTAAGAACAAAATTGTTTAAATTTAAAAATCTTAAACCAGTCATCTCTTTCGGAAACATGGGTTTTAAAATTAAACAGAAGATGGAGATTACATTCCTGGATATAAGAGGTACAATATAAGATATATTCCTTTCCTAAGAGTTGAGGCATCTTAAATAGAGAAACTTCCTTTCCTGCTTTCCTCCTGGTCTGAGAAGTTGGCATGCAAGCAGTTAGTTATTGCTGCGTAACCCAGTGCCCCAGAATGTGGTGGCTTGAAACAACAATCGCTTATTGTCTGTGGTTGGTCAGGAATCTGTGGGCGGTTCTGGGACTCTGTTTCTCAGGAGATCCCAGTTACGTAGCCGGGGAGGTCCTCATCTGAAGGCCAGGCTGGGGCTGCAGGCTCCCCTCCCGTGTGGCTCACTCACTAGGCTGCTTGCAGGTGGCCCCCATTCCTTCCCTGTGTACCTTTCCCCTGGGACAGCTCGAGTGTCCTCATGATGTGGCAGCTGACTTCCCACAGAGTGAGTGGCCCAGAGAGAAGGCATGAAGGCAGCCACGGTATACAGTGCTCTATGACCTAGTCTTGGGAGTCGCACAGTGCTGTCACTTAATACCTTATTTGGTTCATAGAAGTGTCTTGAGCCCGCACTCCACGGGAGGGCAGTTAGGCTCCACCTTTTGAAGGGAAAGGAATGTCATACTTTAAACTATCACATCAGCTAATAAATAGATAGCTCAAAAAAAAAAAAAATCAGTGAAATTGTATTTTCAGTGGTGAGATTAGAAATGAAAACATTTCTGCTGTACCTCTCCTCATTGTTAGCAAGTAGCTTCCCTTTGTGCCAGGGTACTAATAGAGATCACCAGGCAGAATATTGTCATGAAAAGAATATGGGACTTGGAGTTCAAGTAGAAAGTTTGTTTACTTATGGAGGAATCTCTAGCATATCTTCCCTGAGCTGTGGTGGGATGATCACAAGACAAGGATAACCTGGAGAAAGGTTAGACTGTTTCGTAAACTGTAAAAACAGCTTTTTTTATTTAAACCTGCCCTCCCTCCCTAAAAATAGCTTATTAAATATTAGTTCTTACTTAACTCCTGAATAGCTAACATTTATATAGCACTTAATATATGCCAGGCACAGTTTTAAAAAGTTGATATTTATTAACTTATTTACTCCACAGCAACCCTGGGAGGTGAGGGGTACACTTATCTTTATTTATAGGGGAAGAAATACGTATCAGGGCAGGGACATAAAAAATCTTGTTGACGTCAATTGGTGAAGCCAGGATTTGAACCCAGGCAGTCTGCTTTTTGGGACATCTGACCTTCTTTAGGCAAGGATTTATTCACGCAGTAAGTGTTCACTGACTCCTTGTTGTATATCAGACCGTGCTAGGCACTGGGAAATCTCACGCCAGACTTGAAAGGCAGAATTCCTCTGTATTGATGGATTGATGTTGTATTTCAGTTTAGGTGATGTTTGAGTTGTTAACATAGGTTCTCTGGGTTTTTAAGTTGTTTTTCGAGTTCAGTGTACTCTTAAATTTTAAAAAGCGTGAATAGTTTGCGATTTGGATAGTAACTGTGTGTCTTGTTTCAAGTCTGGAGAATTGCCTGGCCCTTTTGGTGGCAGAGGGCGCCTTAAATCTGCAATTTTAATTGATTTTGGTTTTCTTCCTGCTACAGACCTCTTTTATATGGAATTTTAGCTCATTTCTTGGATGGAACTAAGGATGACCTCCAAAATCCATTTCTGAGAGGGTCGTCACTTCAGCCTGCAAATCCAAATCTTGGCAAACAACCTAGCAGAAGAAAGCACAAGGGTATGAATTTCCTGGGATTCATCATTTAACTGTTAGCAAGTATTTTTTTTTTTCTTTTTTTGTTTTTTAAATTATTTAAAAAGATTTTATTTTAAAGTCATGTCCATACCCAATATGGGGCTCAAACTCAAAATCCCTAGATTAAAAAAGTTCCGTCCTCCACTGACAGCCAGCCAGGTGCCCCAAGTGTTTTTTTTTCTTCTTAATATTTTTCTCTTGGGGCGCCTGGGTGGCTCAGTCAGTTAAGCGTCTAACTTTGGCTCAGGTTATGATCCCAGGCGTCTTGGGATCGGCCCTCTGTGGGGCTCTGCTCAGTGGGGACCCTGCTTCCCTCTCTCTGCCTGCTGCTCTGCCTCCTTGTGTGCTCTCTCTGTCAAATAAATAAATAAAACCTTAAAAAAATTTTTTTTTTCCTCTCGCAAATAGTTTTTGCCGAGATTTTGAGTCATAGTTTAATTCTACTTGTATCTAATATGGTTGAAGTCTATGTTACTGATCCTCCAAAAAGCAAAATGGTGTTTGGAAAGGGAATCTTGAGGGGATGGGAGAATAACTGGACAAAATTTTTAGATACTGGGGCGCCTGGGTGGCTTAGTGGGTTAAAGCCTCTGCCTTTGGCTCAGGTCATGATCCCAGGGTCCTGGGATCGAGCCCCGCATCGGGCTCTCTGCTCAGCGGGGAGCCTGCTTCCCTTCCTCTCTCTCTGCCTGCCTCTCTGCCTACTTGTGATCTCTCTCTCTGTCAAATAAATAAATAAAATCTTTAAAAAAAAATTTTTTTTTTTAGATATTGTTTCTGTGCCAAAGCATGGAAAAACCTGATTTCTTTCACATAGATTTGTATTCTTTGGAACAACTTAGATCATTGGCATACTCAATAAACAGATTTTTCTCAAATCATCACTTTATCCCCCCTCCAAGACTGAAGAAAGGCAAGATTGCTGAATATAGATAGGGACGTCACAAGTGTCTATATCCTTTGTATTTTTAGGATACTGTTGGTGGAGGACTGGTAGTACCTACAGATAAGATACTCGAACAGCCCCTATTTCTTTCAGAATGTTTACTCTTTAAATGTGCTTTCAGTTGTTACCACATCAACAATAGGATCTCACTTTGATCATCTGAACTGAATGGTGTATAGCTCTTTCTTTCCAACCTCCGTAGAGCTGGTCTCTTTCTAAGGACAGTCAGAGGTGGGCCTCAAGCAGCAGATGAGGAGAACAGATCAAAATCTTGAATGTTGAAATAACCTTCTACGAAACATCAAAAATACTCGTTATCCTTCATAGTTTATCGTAAGCTGCTGTGAGCAATATTAATTCCGTTAAATATTTGCTGCGTCTCCTAGGATCTGAACACAAAGTGTTTGTGAAGCAAGGTGACCTCCTTTGTGGGTTATTTCTGATGTCACTAGGAGTTACTCATCTATGTATCTTAGACTGCTGAGCTGATGGACCATTGAAAAAGAAATCACCCCACCTCCTTACTTTACAGTTGAGAAAACCAGGACTGAGAGGTTAAGTGAGTCCGTAAAGCACGCGGCTGACCCGTTCTTGCAGGATCAGGATCTCTGAGTGCCATTCCTGTACACTTCTCCACTTACAGAGTGTAAAGAAGTTTTCCTAGTTCCCTTTGCAAGGCTTGGTAAGGAACTGTCATTAGTGCCTACTATTTGACAAGTACTTAAAGAGCGAAACAAAATGCACAAGGGGACAAGTAAATCTGTAAGCATTCAAATAATCTACAAATCAAATTCCCTTGAATCTCTTCCCTTTTGTCTCTCCCTAACTCCCTGATCTCCCTGCCTTCTGTGGAAGGTCCCTATTAGCAGCTTGGGGGGCAGGGGTCTCCTTCCAGAGTCATTTCTGTGCCTGTAAATTTGTATGTACCGCTACTTGACATGTTACCCTGAGATTGGGTTTGTTTTCCCTTGTCTTGTCAGTATCTTAACTTTATGTAGTATTGTATAGTATTGCTGATCATCCCTTACTGATGGACTTTTATGTTTTTACGTTTTTGCTATTACTATATTGCAATACAGAATGACTTCTTTGTCCGTGCAAGTATTTCTCTTGTGTGGACGCCTAGAAGTACAGTTGTGGTTCCAAGCGTACACATATTAAAAAAACATAGTAGAAGTTGTCTAATCCCCCTCCAAAAAGGCTTTACCTACCAAGGATATATGATAATACCAATTTCTCTGTTTAATTGCCACCAGGGGATATTGTACATGTGAACGCTGGGTAAGACAGCAAACCCGTGACATGGATACTTTCAGTCCCATAAGGAAAAATAACCTCTTGAGCAATCACTTTTATGGCTTGTAAACTTTTTATTTTTTTATTTTTTTAAAGATTTTATTTATTTATTTGACAGAGCTCACAAGTAGGCAGAGGGGCAGGCAGAGAGAGATGGGGAAGCAGGCTCCCTGCTGAGCAGAGAGCCTGATGCGGGGCTTAATCCCAGGACTCTGGGATCCTGACCTGAGCTGAAGGCAGAGGCTTAACCCACTGAGCCACCCAGGAGCCCCTAAACTTTTTATTTTTACCTCTTGATTTATTTTCAGGTGTATAATACAGTAATTCCACGCTTTTATACAACACCCCAGTGCTGATCACCGTGTCTTCCTTAATCCCTGTTGCGTGAGAACCATCAGTGTATTCTCTAGAGTTAAGTGTCTTTTTTTTTTTTTTAAAGATTTTATTTATTTATTTGACAGAGATCACAAGCAGGCAGAGAGGCAGGCAGAGAGAGAGGGGGAAGCAGGCTCCCCGCCGAGCAGAGAGCCCGATGCGGGGCTCGATCCCAGGACCCCGAGATCACGACCTGAGCCGAAGGCAGAGGCTCAACCCACAGAGTCACCCAGGCACCCCAAGAGTGTCTTTTTGGGTTGTTTTTTTTCTTCCTTTGCTCATATGTTTTGTTTCTTAAATTCCACATATGAATGACGTCATTGGTGTTTATCTTTCTCTGACTGACTTTGCTTGGCATGATACTCTAGCTGCATCCATGTCACTGCGTGGCTCGTAAGCTTGTTATAATCTATCTCAGTGATGACGAATGACTAATAAGAAAGGTACACATCAGGAGTATTTCTTAACCCAGTTCTGTTCTTTTGAGACGTGGGTCACGATAGCTGGTGGTAGCTTTACACCACAGAGATGGGGGGCTGGAGAGCGTGGGGGGAGGGGAGAGGCACACTAGCTGCTTTGGGGCCCTCAGAGCCCTCAGAGAGGTCCAAGTTAGTTGAGCTTGGGGCTCGTGTTCTGTGGAAAGCTCTGTGGCAGGCTCAGAGGTGAGGACGGCTGAACTAATAGGAGAACAGGGATTTTGCAAATTATTTTTCTTGACCATCAGAAATTTTCTTGATAAAAGTGGACTCTTTGTGCAATGATTTGTAAAGAATTAGCAGCCACGAATGGCATTTTTGTCCGTAACACATGTCAGCATTTACTTTCAGCGTCTCCTTTTTCAATTCTAGCTTACTGTTTGATAGAAACACGTTTTATTTGACAACATGGGAAGGTTATGAAAATTTAAAAATATTATTACTCAGATTACAATACCTGATCTCTACAGAAGCTCATCTGAGGTAGAACACACTCAGATGAAATTGTCCGTGTGTGAACACAAGTCTAAAAGCAGGCCAACACGAGAGCTCTTGTGTCACAGCTCCCAAAGAGCTGGAAGAAAGGAACAGGGGTTTTTTTTTTAATTTTTTTTTTTTTAAGATTTTTATTTATTTGACAGAGAGGGAGATCACAAGTAGGCAGAGAGGCAGGCAGAGAGAGAGGGGGAAGCAGGCTCCCTGCTGAGCGGAGAGCCCTAGGCGGGGCTCGATCCCAGAACCCTGGGATCATGACCCAAGCCAAAGGCAGAGGCTTAACCCCCTGAGGCACCCAGGCGCCCTATTAACAGGGTTTGTGTAGACACACTCGCCTCCGGGATGGTGACCAGTTCATCAGGGCTGCTGATGTCTGTGCTTGAACACTGGAGGCGGAGCAGGTTCTTAATATAAGTGAAAGACCAGAAATCTAACAGAGAAAATCATTAGCATCGCAACTTTACCGCACATCTGTGAAGTGCATGCATCACATACTTCTTAGTAATGCTTTTCTAGAAAACCTGAAACGTCTGTGGCCTCAGGATATTGTTAACTTTGTTCTGTCCAGCAAAGCTGCCTGAAAATGAGGGAGACAGTCCTCCGTGATGCAGACCTACAGTCTCCAGTCCTTGTGAGGATGATCAGCCGCTGGGGACTAGCAGGCCTGGGTGTAGAATCAGGTTGTCTTTAGAATTAGAAAATCCAGGTTGCGTTTTTGGTGCTAAAATCCATGTTTCTAACAACTGTCTCAATTTGTATTCTTTTTCTCCTGTCATCAAAATCATAAAAATGGGTTTTTCCCGTGTAAAAGTATCTAAGGAATATTTTCAGTTTTTCACAGCTTTTTAGAATTTAGTCTCTGCCTTGCATTTTTGTTGCATTTGGATGTTAAGTCTCTTTAGGTTCTTTAAATCCAGGGCACTTCTGCCCTCTACCCCTTCTCCCCATGACAAAAATTGAGCAGAAGTGACTAGGACCCCTTTGATTGCCAGAGCACAGGGGGTGGTCACAGGGGCTCTGGTGGCTTCTGAATTCTCATGGAGCTTTATTCTCATGTCTTTGGCTGCAGAAGATTTCTACAATTTCTTGGATATTTTCTGATGTGGGTAGGAAAATGTAAACTCTGCTAGTTTTTTTCTTGCCACACGAGGGTGCTGCTGAGAAGCACTGCTATTTGAAGGTGGGTTTTTTGTACTTTTTTTCTTTTTAGTTGAAGTTTGGCATCCCTCAAAATGTTAATTGAACACCCTGTCCTTTCAGATTCCATTCCTTACATATCATGTAAGAGAAGTTTGTAACTGCTCCTTACACACGGGTTTACGCTGTAGTGCTCTCTGTTCCCTTAAAAACACTTGATAATGAATCTTCAGTACTAAATGTTTCTGATTTCTTTAATAATGCTTTTAAAATGGTGAGTTTATTTTGCTGTCCTAAGCCACCTAAAGAACGCATACAATAGTAAAAACATAACATCCGAAAATACATGCAGCTACGTCTGCACACTGCTTACTTTGACTTGGGGTAAGTATTGACATTATTTTCTGTTCATTTCAGGTGACCCCCTAAGAACGGAGAAGGGGAGTAGTCCTAACATCAAAGATCATCTTGTTTCTCAAGCAGTGAAGAGATGACATTTCCATTCGGGGCATCTTTTGTCTTAAAATTATGTGTATCAAGTAACATATTTACTCTCCCAACATTACCAAAATACACCACTAATATTTGTCCTTTGTAGAAATTTGAGTTTCTGCAAAAACATTTAGCCCTTCCTGTTTTACTACATTTGTGAATAAAAGCTAACTCCGTCACCTAGCTTCCTAGATTTGACTTGAAAGAAAATAACGTTGTTTTTAGAAGGTATTTTGAAGGTTTTTTAAATTTGTGAGAACTGGAAGAAATTTTTAGTACCCCGTATATTCTTTAAAAAAAAAAAAATTCAGGTCTTTATAGCCATATGTTCCGCTCTTTAACAAGGTTACATGAAATTTCCTTCAGGCTGGAATTACGTGGACTTGTAGAAAAATCCATTTGTGTTTTTAAAAAAACGTTTTAAAAAACATTGAAGCCTGATAAAATGAATTCTATGAAGTTCAGTTTTTTGTTTACAATTAGCAGTTTTTCAGATAACCATTTATAATTTGGTTTAAATATCTGAATTACTATCCAAATCTGAACTTTTAAACTAAGTAACAATGTGCTTTTTCTTTCCTTAGACCATTTTGGCTTCTACTGGAAGATTTAATTAAAAGGTAGAGGGGGAAATAATTCTTTTAATTTTGCTGTAAGTCAAACAAAGAGTTTATTTTATTATATAAAGAATGTGGAATAAGCGTGAAGAGACAGGCTTTAGGAGAAATACCAGAAAGCACCTTTTAAAAGATGGCATTGTTTAATCTCCATGCAGCCCTCAGTTGTGCAATCACAAGATGAGCTCCGAAAGAGCCAGTCCCTGGTTACCTGGACTCACTGCATGTCAGTTTTTTATTCTTGGGTTAGAAAAATAGTAAGAGCTCTTCCTGTGCTATGTCTAAAATGCTATTTTGATATTTACGAAGATGTTTTTATAACGTGGAGGCTGCAGACTGATGTCACTGAGGACAGCTGTGATGATAGCCCTGATTGGCAGAAGTCATAAAGTATAATCCGACAGAATGGCACAGGCGCCCACATACCAATGACATTGAGCTTGAATGTTTTCCACAGGGCAAGGGCGAAGCTGTAGATGGCAAAATTGGCCTTCTCTTCAGGGTGTTGATTCGGTGCTGTCTTTTCAAAGTTTTGAGTTTCTCTTTGGTGTTGGTAAGTGTTCAGTCCTTACAGATGAACAAAGAATTTTTATCTGAGTGCAGAAAATTATTAAAGAAATCCCCTTAAGCCATACTTTGCAAGTGAGAGGATTCTGAGAGGCCCTGTTGATGAGCTAGGATTACAGAAGAGATATACTCTTGGGGCTCATTTCCATTTTTCAAATCAAATCTGTAGTATCTGGTAACAATTAGGAATCCCGTTGTATTGTATGTGGGAATATAAATGTCTGAATTCTTTTCAGAGGACTTGGTTTACATCCAAAGATGTTGGTTGTGGACACGAAGTTTACCTCAGGAATTACAATCATGCAGGACTAGATTAAGAAAAAATGCTGGAGTTTATAATTTTGGTTACTGATAGAAAATCGTCACAATATAAACTAAACAGAATTGTCCCATATAGTTCATAGTGTGTTTGTATGCATTGTTGTGCAACTTGTTTGAACCTAGGCAACTTTTATACTTTCAATGTATTACTTAATAAAAAAACAATTAAGCAACTCTTTTTTGTGCAAAGGATGTTCCTATGACTTCTTTCATTAAGAGCTGGGCACCAGGATGGGAAGAAGATTCGGAGTGGCTCCCCAGGCCTTCCTTCAGGATCTCCTGCGGCCTAGTAGTTGGAGGATGTAGAGTGAGATGGAGGGAGGAGAACTTCCCCTGGTGTGCGGGCCCCGGGCATTAGCCACATCACCGTGCAACACTTTTCATCCAGGAGCCTCATGATGTCAGTCTCGGGGGGGAACGGTATTATAACCTGGGGGGCCATGTAGGTGTTCAAAAAAGCATATTTAGTAGTATGTTTTTATATTTGCAAAAAGGAAAATGACCTATTTTCAACACACTCAGATTTTTGAGATTTCCACAAAAGACCATAGGTTGAAAAATCTGCTCTAGAAATTTTTATATTCAGGATTTTTGAACGGTGTCAATTCATTTATAAGCCAGTCATTGAAAAAGGTACACTGGCTGAGACATTGAAGAAAAAAACAACTGAGTGGGGGAAACTGAGGGAAAGACAAGACAAATATAACTATTCTCCTACCTCATAAACTGAATCAGTGCATCATTGCCGGTGTTTTTCATGGGGTTGTTGGGAGAAGTTCTCCTCCAGAAATAGGGAGAAGTTTTAGGAGGAGATTTGGATATACAGAAAAATAGTATGGGAATTGAGACTGAAGAGAGGTTTAGGAAAAGTGGAAATACAAAACTTGGGCAGTCCAAAAACCCAGCAGGAGCAGAGGTGGCGTTTGAAGATGATAAATTTAGCTTAGCATATATGTTTGCACAGAGTAAACTGATAGCTTTATAATTATGTGCAAGAACGCAGTTGTATGACTCACATGCCTGTATGATTATATAAGACTTGATGTGTTCTTTTAACCTAAAGCCAAGTGTACATGAAGGATTAACATTGTGAGAATATGCCTTTAAAGGCATTTGAGACAATGCTTCCCAGCCACTTGGAATTTGACTTGCGTTAACCATTCTGCAAGGATCGGGTGGTCTTTGTTCATTTTTTTTTTTTTTTAAATGAAAGGTGAAACTACCTTTTTTTAAAAAATAGACTTTTTTTTTTTTTTTTTTTTTAAGATTTTGAGAGAGCGAGAAAGCGACCAAGGAAGAGGCAGAGGGAGAAGCAGACTCCCTGGTGAGCAGGGAGCCCTACTCTAGGCTCAATCCAGGACCTTGGGATCATGATCTGATCTGAAGGCAGACACTTGACTGACTGAGCCACCCAGGCATCCCCCCAAAATAGACTTTACTTTCGAGAGCAAGCTCAGGTTCATAGCAAAGTTGAGTATAATATATAGAGAGTTTCTATATACCTCATACCACCCCCCTCACTCACGCCACGTCACCCCTGCCTCCACACCCCCTACCCCTGAGGGAGTGTCAACATTTGTTCCAATGGGTGGACCTGTGCGGACACATTATCACAGTCCATAGTTCACATCAGCATTCATTTTTGGTGCTGTTCGTTCTGTACATCTGAACGAATGTGTGATGATAGCTATCCACCATTCTAGTACCACGCAGTATTTTCACTGCCCTATAATCCCTGAGTTCTCTCCGTTCATTGCTCCAGCCCCCCAACCCCTGGCAACCACAGATCTTGTAACTGCCTTTCCCAGAATGTTATATAGTTGGAATCCTACAGGATGTGGTCTCTTCAGACTGGCTTCTTTCCCTTGGTAATAATGCACCTAAGATCCCTCCACATCTTTTCATGGCTCGAGAGCTCGTTTGTTTCAGCACCAAAGAATATTCCATCACCTTAGTGTACCAGATTGTCCTTTCACTGCTGAATAGCTGCTTGGTTGCTCCCAAGGTTTGACAATTACCCATAAAGCTGCTTTAAACATCCCAAGTGCAGGCTTCAGCATGGACTCAAGCTTTTAACTCATTTGGGTAAATCCTAAGGAGTATGATTTGCTGGTTCATATGTGAAGAACATGTTTTGTTTTGTAAAACACTGTAGAACTACTTTGAGAATTTTAGGACCCTTCCTTTTTTTAATATATATATATATTTAATTTATTTATTTGACAGAGATCACAAGTAGGCAGAGAGATAGGCAGAGAGGGAGGGGGGGAAGCAGGCTCCCCGCTGAGCAGAGAGCCCGATGCAGGTAGATCCCAGGACCCCGAACTGAGATCATGACCCAAGCCGAAGGCAGAGGCTTAACCCGCTGAATCACCCAGGCACCCTTTAGGACCTTCCTAATGGAGGGTAGAGAATCTGGAGTTACCAAGACACCAGAATCGGAAAGTGATGAAGGAGAGAGCATTGCAGGTCTGTCTGCCATGCAGTCTTGTCCTAGAGAAGTGTGGAGCCAACACGAGTGAAACAGAAGGGGCTTTGTGCAAGAGATAGAGGCGAGCTGGGCTTGTGGCCAGGAATGATGTCCATTCACAAGAAGGCACAATGCTGTGCAACTCTTGGGCTGGAGGACTTGAGTGCTGGTACACTATTAAATAATGAGATTGTGAAGTACATGCAGGAGTAAATCATCTTTGGATCCAATCTGTGATATTATTAAAAACCGGAGGGAATCACATTTTGGAGCTTTTTGAAACCAATAGCAAATACAAAGCTATTTGATAAAGAGGGAAAGACTCCAAGCGAGAAATTTCCCCTCTGCCATCTTGTTTCATTAGTTCATGGAAACTCCCATTACACAGCACCCCACAAAGAAGACAAGCCCAGGAAATTTACTGGACAGCTCTTGAAGTAACACTTTTTTTAAAGTATGCTTTTCCCCCTTGATCTTAAAATAACTGGCTTTTTGAGCCATGAGAAATAAAACAGGCATTTGACTTCATTATTGTAACAATGCGCTTTTGAAGATTCAAACATCTGAGCTTCCGCGTTGGACAGATATTTAATGAATGACTGTTATGTACACATACTGTCCCTGAACATGCGTAGACTGTACCAGAAAGGTATGAAATACCTTATATAAGGCCTTCACATGCTTCGTCATATTTAACAACCCAGTAAGGTAGTTGAGGTAAAGATTCTGTCCATCTGCGTTCCTCCTCGAGAAGACGGAGTCTCAGTTCACCGACTGTCCTGTGACTTCTGGCCTGTTGCCTCAAAGATCAAGCGTAACCTCCCACCTACTTAACATGGACTCGATCAGACATGGGGAGTTGGAATTCCTGCTCCAGCACTAATTAGCTATGCTAGTTACTTAATTCACCAGCCTGTTACTTAATTGGCTTGTCACTTAATTCACCAGCCTGGTTTGTCAACAGCAAAATGGGAAAAAAAAAAAATTTTTTTTTAAGTACTTGCTTCCTAGGGTTGTTACAAGGAAGAGGAGAGAGAATGCAGAAAAATTCAGTGTTGTTGTTGTTTTAATAAGCCCTCCGTTTATTAATAATTGCTTATAGGGATTCTCTTTTAAAATTTACCAACAAATTCTTTAAGGAATCAAATGCAAAACCCCTCTGAAGTACCAGTGTTAAGGTCTCCAGTAAAGACGCCAGCTCTCACTTT